GTATTGAGGGGGGGAGGGAGGAGCGGAGTGGGTGGTAAGGGAGGGTGGGGGCAGGGGGGAGAAATGAACCAAGCCTTGTATGCACATATGAATAATAAAAAATGAAAAAAAAAGAATTGCAATTTGTCCTTGGATGGTGGCTCAAGCAGTAGAACACCTATGTAGCAAGTGCCAGGTCCTCGAGTTCAAACTCGTACCCACCAGTGGTGACTCACTACCTGTACTTTGGAGAGTCTGAGATCAGGAGGATTGGGGTTTGAGGCCAGTCCAGGAAAATTATTTCGAGAGACCATCATTCAAAATAACCAGAACAAAATGGACTGGACATGTGCTCAAGTGCTAGAGCACCTGCTTTGAAAGCACAAGCCTGAGTTCAAACCCCATCCAATAAAAAAAAAGAAAAGAAAAAGAAAAAGACTTTGAATTCCTCTTCTCAACATCCTCACCTTCCTATTTTTATTCATTGTAAATTGTTTGTACTGTGGTTCCTACTCAATCTAAATCAAATCTCTTCAGTTGAAAAATTTGCCTTAATAAACTTCCAGCTTTCAGCAATTTGCAGGGAGCAGGGAGTCAGAGTCTCTCTGTGTGGCTTGGGTGCCACAAACTCATGATCCTTGCTGCACTGGCCTCTGAGTTGCTAGGATTACAGACCTGAACACCACCCGCCTGAGTGTTCAGGAAATTTTTGATCTTACTTTCCCTCTTGAGAACCACCAAAGGTAGTAGTCAGGTGACATCCCCCTTAGGAGGGTAAATGATACGCTCAGTCTGTCCTAGCACAAACTAGGTTGGTGATGTTTGGGGGAGTAAGGGTGTTTTTCTGGTTATTGTTTTGTTTATTTGCTTTTTCTATCTTTGTGTGTGTGTGAGAGATTGGGGTTTGAACTCAGGGCTGTGCTGTTGCAAAGCAGGTGCCTCTACAGTTGAGCCATGTCTCATTCCTTATTTTTAAAAATATGGTGGGCTGCGAGTGTAACTGTAACTCAGCGGTAAAGCATGTGCTCATCACGAACAACACCCTGGGTTCAATCCCCAGGACCAAATATAAAAAAAAAAATAAGAAAAGTGCCAAAAAAAAAAAAGATAATCCATTATTATTACTGGGATGACACCAATCCCATGAAGTTTATTCTTACAAAACGGTGCTTTGGGGAACTTACACCATTACCTAGGCTTCTGGACTGATAAGCTGGCAAGAAACCAATTTTTAACATTCACCACACAATTATATGAGTATATGATGGAAAAACATTGAGTTTCTGGGTGGCTAATAAAGATAGTAATTATTTCTTCGTGTGCATATGTGGTTAAGCAAATGTAGAAAAGAATAAATTATCCAATTAACTAAATGACATGTGACATAATTAAACTATGACCCCTGACAAAATAGAGTTTTAAAAATATATGTGTACATGTGTGTGTGTGTGTGTGTGTGTGTGTGTGTGTATACTTATACATGTATATCAGTGCTGGTGAAATCCATACATCCTGACTGTAAAAGGCTTTAAAGAGTTAAACATTGTTAGTGCCCTGCCTTCCCAACACACACATACCAATGTTTGATTCATAATGAAGACACCAGAATTCTGGACTACAGCCTCAATACCAGAGCATTATTTGATGAGAGGACATAGTAAACTGCCACAGAGAAAAAGCATCCTTAAGGAATGAGAGTTTTTTCTTGGAAAAAGGTTTATCTATTGGAAAATATCTCTTCCTCTAAAGCCAAGAAAATACCTTGAAACCTCCTCCTAGAGTAGGAAGGAGACTCATAGGTGGACAAAGCAGATCATGTGACTCATGAATCCCTTTGTAAAGGCATTAGCAGAAAGTCTACACATCAGGGGAAGACAAGTATACAGTATTTCTTGTGTTATATAGGCCACAGAACGGTAATTTATAAAGTTTATGGGGAAATCCTTCAGTTTGTAAATTTTGAGCAATTCTGAGGAAAAATTAAGAAATATCTTTAATGATCTTAAAGTACTGCTGTGGCAGTACTTTCATGTGAGACCACACGTGTGCGAGCAAGGACTTTCTTTTCACAGCATTCATTTCAGTTATTCCTCCTGAGGCTCCACAACAAGATGACATTCCCCACAGGCCTGGGTGGAAGACTAGTCCATCTGAGAACAAGCAGTCCTTACAGGATTTACAGGACAGCAATGTAAAACCTTCAACCAGGATTTGTATTACCAATGAGTAGTCAGTAGAAGTTGTAGGACCAGGAAGGGGCTCAGTTATGACTCTTCAAAGTCTAGACAGGCATAATCTGAGATGTCAGGATTCCAGGGTGGGAAGAACAGGGCCTTAAGTATGAACACACACTGTCCACTGTAAAATCCTAGGGTGCTCCATTTACATGCATGACCATGTGATTGGCATTTGGGGTGTTAAGCAGTATCTCCATTTGGAAAAAGGGGTAGACTCAAAAATCACGAAGGTATTAGGAAAATATTTTCCTCCCCTATAAGTTTAAGTATGATCACCATAGATGAGAAAACAGATGTAATGAAAGTTAACACAGAAAAAACTAGTCTCTGGAAGTGTATCTCCCTTTCCATTAATCTGCAAGGAATCCTTTCTCTCAGGCATCAATTGTGCCAAGAGGACTTCCATTTTCAACTCCACTGACAACCTATCCACCTGTTGGGGCCCCAATCCGGAACTCTAGCTGCTTTCCAAGATTAATAAGTAATTACTTTAATTTTTAAAAGCATAAAATAAATAATTGGACTTTTAAAAACATAAAATACATAATTGAACTTTAAATTTTTACCCTTTTCTTCTTTTCCCATTTTCTTGTTTTTCATAAATTAATCAATAAATTTAATCAAGAACCAGAAACTTAAATTTAGATAAGTAGGTAGACACATAGATACTTTTATAGGCTGAATTATCTTCCTATCCAATTCATATGTTGAAGCCCTAATCCTTGATGTGATAGGATTTGGAGACAGGGTCTTTAGGGAGGTAATTAAGGTTAAATTAAGTCATAAGAGTGGGGTCCTAATCTTATAGGACTGTATACTTATAAGAAGAGAGACATTAGAAATCTTTCTATGTGTACACAGAAAAGATGCTGTGTGAGGACATAAATCCATAAGCCAGGAAGAGAGCCCTCAACAGAAATAACACTAGCAGCAGCTCAGTCTCGGATTTCTATCCTCCAGACCCATGAGAAAATGAGTATCTGTTGCTTAAGCCACCCAGAATGTGGTATTTTGTTATGTCTTTCCAACCAGATGAATAAAGATGCTTTATTGAACGTATTACTATTCTAGATTTTGTGAGCAAAATGTACTAAGTGTATCTTACATAGCTGTGAATGCTATAGTGAGCCAGAGTTTAAAAAAAAAAAAACAGGTGCAGAGGCTCAGGATGTAGCTTAGGGTAGACCACGCACTTATCAAACACTGAGGCCTTATGTTCCATTCCTAAAGCACTAAAATCAAAAACAAAACACCCAGGGCAATCAAGTTCTAGCTCTGCCTCTTCCTGTAAATGTAAACCTGACAGTCATTTCACCCCATAATGAGCTCCATCATTGGTAAAAGGCTAGATTCTTTTTCAAGGTGCTCATAGCTTGGGAAATCTGATTATAAACATCTATGCCATGGCAGTGTGTATAAATTATTATATATCACCCAACATTTGTCTTTCCTAGTGAGAACTATAGGTCTAACTCATTAAAGAAAGAACTGAAGTCCCACACAATAACAAAAAACATTATGAAAAAGTTCCCTAATTTCTGTACTTCTGTGCTTTTGGTGTGTGGGGGGGAAAATGTGCTAAAGAGTATGGGGAAACATAATATTAATAAGGCTCCTTTCCAAGGAGTATCAATTTTATAATATTTCAAAAGACAAAATGTGGACAGAAAGCAAGTAATACAGCATTTTTATAAAACTTTAAGTTAAAATGACACTCTGGAGAAAGTTCTGTCTTCTGGTGGCATCTAGGTTCCTCTACACAATCTACTATTTACTTTCTCTGGCATGACGGGTATCCTGATGGAAAACTCTGCTAAAAATTGCAGTAAATATATCTTGCTAATGAGAACAGAAGCTAATTTTGGATAGAGTTACAAATTTAATCACTAGTAGATTGTATTCATAAATGGATTGATAGAAAAACATTATTTGACCATCATACTTCTGTCCCCAGACAAGCAACTCTCAAGAACATGCAGTTAATCAAAAGGAAGGTACTGTCGAGATTGTGGTTAACCCAGGGAAAAATCGAATGTAACTAAAAGCACAGCTCTTTTCAGGAAGGCTGTTGAAGGGACTTCTGTGGTAATAAGGTACCAGTTGACATTTCCCTTTCTGGTTTCCTTTTGGTCTTTGTAAGACTATCAAGGAAGACCTGCTGTCCTCTAGCCAACAAATATGTGAGTCAAGCTAGGTCAAGTAATAGGGCCAAGCAACCATGGACTGAAACCAGGAACCAAAATAAACTTTTTCTCCTTGTAAATTATTTCAAGTATTTTTGTCACACTGAGAGATAGCTGAGTAACACTGTCCTTGCCAGGCTCTTCATCTTTTCCTTTGATTCTGTGAGCTACCCTAAATCTGCCCAGCGAGTTCTTTCATGCTTAAGTCAAAGTCTGTTTTCATTGCTTGCAGCCAAAAGCCTGCAGTATAGGCCTTTAGCACCAGCTTCATATATAAAAGTCACCAAGTCACCACTTCTTATTTAACAAAATAAAAACTCCATTTGCAAAAAGTTAGCCATATAGTGCTTTTATTTGACATTATTGCCTAGGTTTCAGGATAAAACATAAACAAATTCAAATGGAAAACCATTTGTCTTACCATTGTTCTGCCCACTTCCCCCCACACACACCTCAACTTATCTTAACCTTCATTTCCTTCTCTAAAAAAAAAAAAACAAAAGCCACTTACAAGAGTCTAACATATCTAAATGTACAGTATATTTCTACCTAAGAGATTAATCATCAAAATCATTTTTTAAACTGTAAACAAAGCTCATCCTTAATCTATTTCATAATCATAATCATCATCATCCATGCTGATTTTGCTGGAGAAGTCTTCAGGTTTTGATTTCTTTTTGGCCTCTTTGCTTTTCTCTGTCTGGTGTAAGTGATGCTCACACTGCCTCATGATCTTCCTGGAAGACATCCAGCTCTCCCCTTGTCGTTCAGCTGGGGCTGCGCATTGTCCTCCCCTCACATCTGTACCCTTGGCCTTAAAGATCTCCCTGGCTCTCAGGAGACTGCAGGTGCAATTCCATGGATTTCCATCCAGGTACAGGTGCCTGAGGCGAGGCAGGCCCTCCAAGGCTTTGAGGTCTAAAGCAGAGATCTTGTTGTTTCTCAAGTTTAGAACTTGAAGCTGCTTGAGATCTTTGAGCTCCCTCTCAGCAATATCCTGAATGGCATTGCCCTTTAGGTCCAGCCTGGCTAAGGTCTTGGGGAGCCTGCAAAGTGTGGAAACAGGATGTGAGCAGAGGCCATGATCATTATCCACAACCACCAAGACAACTGAAACAGCAGTCCCACCTTTTCTATATAGTCTGTCCCTTCTTAAACTAGAAAGTATGTTGGACAATTAATTATAAGCAAAAGTCTGTCTTAGCCTATAGGTCTTTAACTATTTCTGATAGGTTTTACTTTCTACTCCTCTGATTTTTCTAATTCCTATTCATAAAATGTTAATATTTTGTCCAATTTGTTTATTGTCCAATGAGATCAATAAACAAATTGATAATAAAAACACTATGTTCCCAATTCTTAAGTTGGCAAAGGCCATAAATCAATAATTTATAAAAGAAATTAAAATGTCAAATAAAAATATGTTCTTCAGGAATAAAAATAGAAGGAAAATGAAAAAATAATACAGCGCTTTAATGTATCAAATTAGAAATTATCTGCTTTTAAAATTTATTGCTGCTGAGGCTATAGTAAGAACTGTTACCATTTTGTAACTGCTTTGGTAATATGTAATAAATTTAAATAATGTCATGCCATTTGACTTAGAGAATAATATGAAAAGTAAATTGATTTATTTACAAATATGTTTGTACATATTTGATCTCATTTATAACAGCAAAAAACAATAAAGGATAATGTCCAATGATTTGGAAATTATGAGACAATAAGCTACTATGTGATTATAAAAATCATATTTCCAAATAACTTTAAAAATACTATTTCTATGAAGAATCTTTTCTAATTATGACTCCAAAATCCAGAAACTATAAGAGATTAACAAATTAAAGAACTTAAAAAGAAATTGTGTATGGCAAAGGACATATGCAAAGTCAAAAAACAAATACACTGCAGGTAAATACCTGTACCTTATAGCACAAACAACTAATTTCCTTGTATATAAAGATTGAAAAGTGATTCTCAAAATAAAACAGAAAATGAACAAAAATTATTGGAAGTTCACATAAAACGAAAATCAAGGGTCCTTAAATTTTCAGCCTTACTCAGAACACAGAAATGAAAATTAAAACCATAAAGCAGTGCCATTTCTTCCCTATCAGACTTGCAAAACTCCTAAACCACAGCAATATATTCTGTGGGCAAAGCTGTGGAATGACAGGTGATCTCATACATTACTGATGGGCTTTAAAGCAGCATAGCCCCTGTAGAGGAGAATTAAGCAAAGTCTAATAAGGTTGGGGGTGTAACTTACTGGTAGTGCACTTGCCTAGCATGCACAAGGCCCTGGGTTCAATCCCCAAGCACAGGAAAAAGAAAACCTACTAAAGTAACATCTGCATTTACTCTTTTAACCTAGCAATCCCACTTCTAGACATATATCCTTGAAGTTCTGACTATACTAATAAAAAACAATATATGTGGCATTTACTATGATATTACTTATAATTGAAAAAGATTGGATATGACCCAGTCCATCAGTAAAGAACTACTATGTAGCCTAAGGAAGAAAGAGGCTGGTCTAAGAATTACCATAAAATCATTTCTACAAATTATTAAGTTGAAAACAGCATGAAGCAGAATAGTATATATAGTATGCTAGTTTTGTGTAAAAAGAAGAAATAAGAATTATATATACATATTTGCTTACCTTGGGGAGAAAAGAATAATAACTCCAAAGTGAATGAAAATGACTACTTAGAGCAAGTGGTTGAGTCCATATAATTTTAGCTTTTGAATTATGTCAATATTTTACAAAAAGGAAAACAAAATCATCTCTAACAATGAACACAAGCAGAAACAAATAAATCTAATTGATTAACCAAATGCTTATGTTGATAACAGCCATACAGAAAAAATGCTTTGATGGAACATCTTTAGTGGATATATTTAAGCCTTAAACTCTAAGGACAAAAGCATACCCAGTTTTTTCTTGGTATATTTATTATTAATCCTAGTGTTAGTATGAAATTTTGAAAGTTTTTAATGAATATTGTGTAACAAAACAAGAAGTAAATACATTCATCCTATTAGGAAATAAGACTTTCATTGTAAAAGAAGATACAAATATAAAAGAAAAAACTTTTCTGTTGTTAAATAAGAATTGGAAATGTCACTGTGAATCTATAATTTTAAAAAATATATTTTCTGAGGACTAGGAGCACGGCTAAAGTGGTAGAGAGCTTACCTAGCAAGCGGAAGGCCCTAAGTTCAATTCCCAGAACCACCAATCCCCAGTACTAGCTCTGTGTACTAAAGGGACCTGGAAGTCATATGGCATTCTTTTAGCAATGCCACCCCAATAACATGACACACCAAGCACACAGATATTAGTTTTGGAATTCCAATATCCACTCAAAAGAACCAGAACTTCTTGGAGAAATGGCTGGTTCTATCTCTGGGGTGAGTAAGGCCTAGAACTTCTGAGCCAGAATACAGTGAAATGTTCAAAGATTAGTGGAACACCCATCAGAATGGCTATCAATGAACATGAAATACAAGAATTGGCAACGATGTGGAGAAACTGGAAGACTTGTACATTCTGGTAGGAATTTAAAGTAGAACAGCATGGTGGTTCCTCAAAAAAATAAAAATAGAATTACCATACAATTCCGTACTTCCACTTCTGATTTTAAAGAATTAAAATCAGGATCCTGAGGAAATTTTTGTATGACCATGTTTATAGCAGCATTCTTCACAATGGTAAAAATGTGGAAACAACCCAAGGGTCCACTGACAAATACATAAACAAAATGTGATACACACACACACACAACACACACACACACACACACACACACACCACAATATGGAATATTATTCAGTCTTAGAAAGGAAGAAAATTTTCTGATACATGCTATAACATAGATGAACCTTTATGAAAGGCACCAGGAACAAAAAAATTAGTGCTGTATGATTCCATTTATATCAAATATCTAGAATAGGCTTAATTCATGGAAACAGAAAGTCAGATAGTAGAGTGGTGGCTGCCAGGATATGGAGGGAGAGAAAATAGGGAGTTGTTGTCTATTAGATATAGAGTTTATTAGATGAAAATGTTCTGGAGATTGGTTGCACAACAATGTGAATATTTTTAATGATACAAAACTGTACTATTAAAATGATTAAGATGGTAGGCTTTATATTATGTGTATTTCACCACAACTTTAAAAAATTAATGGGGTCATATCTCTCAAACACAAGAGTCAGCTTGAAAGGACTCTTACTGCCAAATATCATACAGTTTTAACATCAAAAGGGACTAGGTGTAAATGGTTATTATCACATGGACTAAATAAAGATCCATGGGTTTGTAGTAGTACTTTGGAAAAACAGAAAAAGAGAAAAGGGAAATGAAAAATATAGTATTAAGTGCAAAAAACAGAATACATAATTGAACGATCCTAAATACTGAAAAACAGATTATGTGCTTATATGAACAATTATAGATACTTTTTGATCTTTTGGCATACTCAGTTTTCAGGAGAAAAACAAAGTTTTTCAGTACTATGGTCATAAATTTGGAAAATGTCATGCTAATGCCTATTGGTAGAAAATACAAAAGAATCATAGTGCTAAACCCCAAAATCTTTCTGTTACATGATGATTTTGTACTTTTCTTTTTATGAAGTATGAGAATTTGGAAAGTTTTATAGGAAAAAACAAAGGCTTTTTAAGTTGAACTATCATCTGAATGTTACTCTCATACAATGGGAACACACTAGATATACCTTTATGCATTTTAAATAGTCATTGAATTATATTATGGTAGTCCCAGCTATATTATTGAAATACTGAGGAGAGAAAACAACCTTAGTTATACTTCATGACAATGGTAACTTTTGCTTATTATAGTATAATTCTTACATGAATTTTATTCCAAAAAGTTAGTGGTTTATATTTAGGCATTTAGCCTAAATTTTGATCTACTTTTTAAGCTAAACTGGTCATTTTATATTTGTGTTCATATCCTGAATTATGCAGTACCTAAATATACATAAGTATGATTTTTTACTACAGTCATACATTCTGAGATATGCATTAGGAAATTTCATTATCATACATACATTATAGAGTATACTTACACAAACTAAGGCAGCTATGTTATTATTAGACAGTATAAATTTAGGAGACCACAATACGTGGTACACTGTTGCCAGAAATATTGTTGTGAGGCACATAGCTATATTTTAAAGCCTTAATTACTGAAAGTGTCTTCTTGTTAGAAGGAATAAAATTTATCAAACAAAATACATTGATTTACCAGGAAAACCCATTTCACTCATGTTAACAGTTTAAGCATTAAATTCAACTTGGAATTAATGTCCAAAGAATATAATTTGGTGTGTACACCAGCTTATAGAAGGTGACTCTCCAAAAAGGTATACAGAAAATCTCTTACAGTATAGTTTCATCTTGTTTCTTCCCCTGAGAAAAATGGACTATTCATAGGTATTAGTTGTAATGGTAAGCAAGACGCCACTCTCATTGCAGAGGACAACACAGCCCAACTGGAGAAAGACACAGTAGACTAAGCTGAAGAGTCAAAAAATCCCTACTTAACTAAGACTTGTATTTTAACTTGGGGTATTCTGTTTACCAGTATGTAGTTTTAGGTGTTATTTCTCTTCAGAATGTTCAGTATACAGAAGTCACATAACAAATGTTACATAGTAAAATTGAACAAGCCAAGTTTTCTTTTAAACAAATAAACGCAGTTCTGGGCTATATGATCCAAAACTTGTGCTTGTTCTTAAACCTACCTTTTTCTTCCTTTTTTATATTTATGGAAATTATAACCAAATTTACATCATAAGAGAAATTACTACTTCTCTTGGTTTAGTAACCTTAGTCACTTATTGCTTTATTATAATTTAATATAGTTTGCCTTTGTATATCCCATTTTTATTAAAAAGTAACTCTGATTTGAAACATGATTGTAGAAATACTATCATATTTTCTTTGGGTTTTGCCAGTAGATGGTACTTGCATACAAGTGAGATAAAATGTTAACTTGTATTAAGTTGTAGAAAGCTATTCTGGATTTGAAATGTCCAAAGAGACAATAAAGAAGAGATAATATAACTCCTGTTTGTTCATTAAGTGGAGATTGGTGAAATATGAAGCAGCAGAAAATGAGGCCTAGATTTTGGGCATTCTAAATAGTATAGTAAATTGCTAACAGTAGATGAAATCAGAAGCAGGATCATGTGTGACAGGATCATTTCCCTGTCTAGAGCTAGACTGTTGTGCTTAAATCCTGGTTCCACTATTTATTCAGGATGTGAATTTGACTAGGTTTTCTGATTACTTCTAAGCCTTAATGTCCTAATCTACAGAATAACTAAAACAATATACCTACCTGTAGAGGACCACTATATGAAGTAACAAGGAATAATGAATGTACCTAAGTCATTGCTGTTTTTAACAAGCACTTACTAAATGTTAGCATGTTGAGGCAAATGTAGTAGGCGCCACAAATCATACACTATTACTTTCTTGATGAATTATAGAATGGAGACTGGCAAACAAAAGAAGGAACTTGGGGAAATTCCATTTGTGATGGGAGCAGGTTGTTTATAGAAAACTGAATTTCATAGTATAGATTTTGTGAAAGAATAAGAAACATGGAAATAAAAAGGAAAAGATGTCCTTTTTAAAAGCTCATAAATAAAAGTTTTTAAATTCAATTGTAAGGAATGGATATTATTGTGTTTTTATTCTTTATGGGTGGAAAATCACAGAGAAACTTTCCTGGGTCATTCTCACTTTCCAATGCAAAAAAAGCTGTGGCAGGAGTTATTAGGGGTACTTAAAAATCACAAGACTTTTGCTATCACAGCTCTTTGACAGAACACATAGTTGTGCTGCTTGACTTTAGGCTCATTAGGAAAGTCCACACTCAAGTCATAGTACTTCTCGATCCAGGCTGCACATTAAATTCATCTAATGAGCTTTGTAAAACACTGATGATTGGGCCCTAACCTTGAGACATCTGACTTAGTTGGTTTGAAGAGAGGCCTTGGCTTCAGTATGCTTTTTTCTACTTCTCTAGATAATTTTAATGCGAAGCCAGATTGGAGAACTACATCTCGCTCATAATTGCAATTCCATTACACACTAATGGAAATGGGTAAAAGTATTGTGCCTTTTGCTGTCACTTACAAAAACACAAATAGTCTGGTAAGAGCAAATAAGCGAGCAGTTTTTTCACTCACCAAACTTAGCAGAATTACTTAATCAAGTACTTTCTAAAAGTCATTCAAGTAGAAAAGTCTAGTGACTATATAATTTTTCCCATGGCTGTCACAGGCTCTGTCACATCCTTAAGTGATATAGCCACTCCTTAACCTATTTTATGAGTTTTTCTTTTATTCACAATTCTTTTTCTTGAAGTAGGGATATTCTAGAATAGAAAATAAGGTTTGATCCAGGCACTGTGACTCACACCTGTAATCTAGCTACTTGGGAGGCAGAGATCAGGAGGATCATGGTTGGAGGCTAGCCTGGGCAGAAAGTTAGCAAGACTTCATCTCAACAAATAAGCCAGGTGTAGTGGCATGCCTTTGTAGTCCCAGCTACATGAGAGGCCACAGGAAGAAGGATCGAGGTCTGAGGCCAGACCCAGGAAAAAATGTGGGACACTGCCTGAAAAATAACCTTAAAGTGGCAGAATGCATAAGGCCCTGAGTTCACATCCCAGGTCAAGAGAGACAGAGAGAGAAAGAAAAGGCTTCAGATGTTTGCAGTAATTTATTTAACAAGCATTGAAATGGTGTAAGCATGTTCTTGATTTGTGCTGGCTGTTCTTTTCTTTAGAACACTCTTCCTCCCAAACAGATTTATCACTAAATCCCTCACCTCCTTCAAGTCTTTGCTCAAAGCTAACTTTTCATAAGAGTTGTTGTGCTTACCCTATTTTAAATTGCAACTGGGAGCCCCATCTTCTGTATGTCTGAACCTGTATCCATGCCCTTTTTTTGTTGTTAACTATAACACCTAACATAATCTAAATAGTATACCTTACTTATGTATTATGTTTATTGCCAGTCGTTTTTTTTTAAGTAGTACTGAGGTTTGAACTCTGGGCCTTGTACTTGTTAGGCAGGTGCTCTACCAGTCTTTATCCTGGTAGAATTTAAGCTGTACAGAACAGGAACTTTTCTCTCTTATTAAATTTATGTGTGTCAAGCACCTGGTATAATTATTGGGAAAAGGTGGGGAGAAAGAGTATCTGCTAAAGTTTGAAATATCACTGTTGAATTAAACTGTATGTACATGCTTATGCATTAAAAAGAAATTGATTACTTTCAAGCAAACTTCAATATGTATTTTTAAAACACTCAGTTCAGTTGGAAAACTCAAGCTGAGATTGGAAGGATCATGGTTTGAGGCCAACCTGGGCAAAATATTCTTGAGTACCAATCTCAACAGGAAAAGTTACACATAATAGTGCAAACCTGTTATCTCAGCAACAGCAAGGAGGATCCCAAGCAAGGCCCTATCTCCAAATTCACCAAAGCAAAAGTGGCTGGAGGTGTGGTTCAAGTGGTAAAGCACTGGCCTCGCAACCATGAAGCCCTGAGTTCAAACCCCAGTACTAGACAAAAAAAAAAAAGTCGATACTACTAAAAGACAGGGCAAGAAGTCTTTGTTTCCAATAAAGTGCTCTCAAAGGATAAAGAATAATAGATACATACAACAAATACAGTATCTTTTAAAAACAGAATTGTGCTTCATTTTACTGTTTTTCTTTATTACTTTAAAATGTAAAACATGAAGTAAAGTCTAAATAAATAAGATCAATGAATGTAAACATGTACATTAGTTACAGATTTTGAGTGGATGGGTGAACAGGTGAAGTAAGTTCAGTATAGAAGGAATGACATTTGGAAAGAGCAATTGTCAGTGTGAGTGAGTGAGTGTGTGTGTGTGTTTTGTGTGTTGTGGAGGGGAGAAGGAGAGTGGGAGAGAAAGGAAGGGAAGGAAAGAAAAGAGATGGAGAGAGAAATTAGAAGGAGGGAGAGGGAAAAGAAGGGGAGAGGAAGAAGGAAAGAGGAAAAGAAAAGAGAAAGAGACAGCTGAAGAGATAACCAAAAACAGAAGGTAAAACCAACACAGATGGACTTTCCCACTCACAGACAGAAATAAGCAGAATCAGCTTAAGCCCTTTAAAGGTCCTAGCACAGAGAATAACAATAAATACAAAATAATATAACATAAATATACAAAATAAATAAAAATAAAACAAAATCAAAATAAATACAGAATTGCATTGTTAAGTTATGATTTTTCCCCATAACTACAACTTCGGTGCTTTTTAATATCTTACTATACATTCCCAATCAATTTTTCTTGGTATCCTTCCTTTGCTAGTGGGCACTCATGTCCAGATTACCTGTTGGTTATCCACACTACATATTTAGAAATCAAGATACAATTTTATAATATTTCATATTGTGTTTGTCAGTACAGATACCACCTGTGTGTGTCTTGCTTCATAAGCAACATAAGTTAGGGCAGGATTCATTCCGAGGACTGGATATTCTAAAGCTTTGTTTAAAACTTCTATCCCTAAACTTTTTATTAATATTGTTGCTTAAACAGCATGCTGATAAGTCCCAATCTTTGGAAAATGTTTATAGTAGCTGCAATAAATGATAGCACTCACTTACCTTAAAGGTATCGACAATAGCAGATTCTGCTCCAGGGCCAGGTTGGACAGCTGAGAACACCTCTGAAGGGCTCCAGCTTCGAATAAGCTGACAATGTTGTTGTCCAGAAACAGATGTTTCAAATCTCTAAGGTCCTGGAAGTCTTGTGCTGTAACTCTCTGAATAAGATTATTGCTACAGTCAAGTTTTTGCAGCCTTGCTGGTAGTTTGTGGGGCAACATTTGAAGATGATTTTGGGATACCTCAAGAGTAGTTAAATTGACAAGAAGTTGTGCCCCATCAATGGAAGAGAGGAAGTTCTCTGACAGGTAAAGATGGGAAAGATTCTCTAAGTGTTTCACATCTTGAAATCTAAACTCTTTGAGTTGGTTTCTCTCCATCTTTAATGATAGCAAGGATTTGGGTAGATTAACAGGGATTTTAGAAAGAAAGTTATCACTGAAACTGAGGAACTGCAAAGACTGTAGAGAAGTAAAGAAGCTACCTGGTATAAAATGTAGTTTGTTATTCTCCATGCTCATGTGTTTCAGATAGGGAAGGATCAAGGGGCCAGCTACAGAATCTATATTGTTACCATCCACCATCAAATTTTGCAAACTGACCAGGGAAGAGAGCATGCTGGGAGACAGGGAAGAGATCAGGTTGTTTTTAAGTTCAAGGACTTTTAAATTCTTCAATCCTTCAAAATCTGATCCCTGCAGGGCATATATTGAATTATCATTTAGTTTTAACACTTCAAGACTGGCTGGGAGAGCACCGGGGACTCGTCTTAACTTATTTTTCAGGAGTTCTAAGGTCTTCAAGGTACTCAGTATTTTGAAGGTATCATTTTCTACAAACTCCGTTCCACAGGCCAGCAGAATAAACTCTTCTAGCGCCAACAGTCTGGTGAAGTTAGATAGCTACAAAAAAAAAAAAAAGGTGTGGACAAGAAAGGGGGAAAAAGCAATAAATTAAGTTGTGGAAAAAAATCATATACATTATCATTACAATATTAGTGACAAATTCTGATTTCCTTTCATGCTCTATGGAAAATTATTGCTCTTTTGCCTGGTGTTGGTGGCTCATGCCTATAATTCTAGCTTCTTGGGAGGCTGAAGCATGGATGTAGGCCAGCCTAGACAAATGTTTTGTGAGACCCCCCATCTCCAAAATAACCAGAGCAAAATGGACTGGAGGCATGGCTCAAGTGGTAGAGACCTGCACTGCAAGTGCAAACCCCTGAGTTCAAACACTCGTCCCACATTAGGATATATAAATATAAAAAATATATTTATTTATATATATATTATATGTGTGTGTGTGTGTGTGTGTGTGTGTGTGTGTATATATATATATATATATTTCCAAGATATGTATCTTGGAAAAGTGTTGAAGGTTGGATCCTGGCTATTTTCATTATAATTCCTAACATCAATGTGTATGATATTGAAAATATTCTGAGCACTTGCACACACTATTCCAAGACACAGAATATTGGCTAACTGTTACTGCATATTTTCTGATGGAGCAAATTCATTTGTAGGCAGAAATGCTTACAAATTGCACAATGATTCACACACTAAACCATTCTTTTGTTGCTAATTTTTAATATCCAGAAATTGAGCAATCTCTGTAGAGCAAAGAATTCATCTATCCGTATTTTTCAGACCTAATGTGTTTTCTCTCCTATAATTTAGGTAATTGCCAAGTCTCATTTATTTGTTTTGCAACTTTCCCTATCTCTCCTTGTCTACTGACCTCCTACTTGACATGCACATCTTTTCCTTGATGATATATATAATCATTGTGTTTGGTTCTAGGTATAAGGTTATGTTTAGACAGAAAGAATTAGTTCATCTTCAGATTGGTAAATCTTCATAAAATTTTCAACCTGCTGTAGAATTCAATTAAGCTGGAATTTTCAGTGTGCAATGTAATGTCTCTTACTATCTACAGTTTTTAAATATTTAATTATGCAGTGGAGCCATTTTTAATACCAATGCATGACAAACACATTCAAAGTGCGTTAGTTTTCATCACATATTTATCATAGGTATTTATATTGTGGAAGGGCACATGATGTGAATTATGGTATATTTTAAAGCATTTTCTAATATGTTATTCTATTAGAAGAATTCTTCTAATAGAATTAAAATTTTTAAATTCCTATAAATGGATGTTTTAAAAACAATAGTTTTGGAAGCTGCCTTGGGTTATATATATATATATTTGTTATTTTCTTAATGAATAATCAGTTGTATTAATTTCCTAGTCCAAATAATGCTAGAATTTTATTTGTGTATTTATTGAGTATCTACAACAGCCAAGTGCTTTTTTTATGTGCTATCATCAACTTCCTGATAACGCTGCACGTTTGCTATCATCAACTCTTGCTTCTAGATAAGGAAACGAAAATGTGAAATAGTTGAGAATTTCAACAAGTGCTGTAGGGGCTGGGATGTAGCTCGGTGGTACAGCGCTTGCCTAGCATGCGTGAGGCCCTGGGTTCGATCTCCCAGCACCAAAAAAGAAAAGACAAAAAAAAAAAAAACCTCTCCCCTCAACAAGTGCTGTAGGACTCTAGACTTTCTTCCTCCTCTACACAATTTTGTATTGCATTTGGCCTATAATTAATGTTTTTCATAAAGGACTCAAGATCCAGGCACAAATCGTATAGTTTTAGAAAAACAGAGATTTTAGAGATTAGTCCAAATCTTCCAGTTCAGTGGCAAATTTCAGGCTGAAAAAAAATTTAAATGATCTGCCTAAGACTCAGAAATACTTAATCCATGCTGCATTCTGAAATGCCCTTTTCTAGATTAATCTTTCATATAAAGTCAGGAGTGACTTCAGACATCGATTCACTTCTTGGATGTTTGAACTCTCAAAAGAAGAACTTGGTGTAACTAGTACTTTTACTTATATCTGAGTTATCACCAGCCCTGAAAGATTGCTGACTATATAGTAAGTCTCAGAGATGATATACGTGTGAATAGGCAACCTATTTTGGGAATAGATAAAGTGTGATTTCAAATTTTCAATCTGCTTTCTTTTCTAGTTGTGAAGTATACAGACTGGCCTAAATCATAAGCATACTTCATATTCTTTTGTTCTTTCATTTTTTACTGTTGTACTGAGGGTACATTGTAACATTTATAAAAGTTCTTACAATATATCATAGTTGAATTCACCTCCATCATTCTCCTTTATTCCCCATCCCCCCATTCCTGGAATCGTTTCAACAGGTCTCATTTTTCCATTTTCATACATGCGTCTATAATATATCCACCATATTCACCCTCCTACACCCTTTCCTTATATCCCCCCCCTTCCCATTGGTACAAACCCCCAGACAGGACCTGTTTTACCTTCCTATTCTCTATTTTTTAAAGAAGACACTTTTGTTTGTCTAAGATGGCTAAACAGGGAGCTTCACTGTAACATTTCCATGTATATATATATATATTATAACCTGAATTGGATCATCCCCTCTATTTTGTCCTTTCTACCTTAGTCTCCTTCTTTTGGTGATTTCAACAGGTTTAAAAATTCTATATTCATTCTCGTATAGGAAATATATCAATTATATTCACCTTCATCCTTCTTTAACCTTCCCTCTCCCATTAGTGATCTCCCCTTCTCATATATGCACTGTAGACCCAATACAAACAAACTTCATATTCTTAACTGAATCTAGTAGCTACCTGTTTTATTAAACATAGAAGGCATTTGTTTTCTTTTTGTCAGTTAAGACATTAGTGGTTAATTTAAATGGCTCCCATTTCTGAAATATTTACTGTATCTACTCTTTACAAAGTTCTAGGCAGAAGCATGATTATTGCTGTTCTAGACAGGGAAACTAAGACTTAAGATAGTGAAATCAAGGCTAGCTTTGCGCTAGTCTCCTTTTTGGTAACAAGATCACCTGCCCAAGTATATCCTGCTAGCAAGATAAGATAAATATTGGGCTACTGACCCAGGTTTAGCTCATACCAGTGCAAACAATTTTAACCTTACTGATATAACATCCATTTCACTGAAAAATGTAGAATTCTAGTGCCATAAATAGTGAGGAAGATACCCACTGAGTTTCAACTTTTTGGGTAGATTTGCAGAGCTGACAATGGAAAAAAGAATGTGCCAGAACTAAATTCCCGTTTTAATGTCCTATCAAGGCTATGCCCAGGAGATGTGGAAAGAATGCTTTTATCCTACAACTAACCTTGGAACTGCTGGCAACTTATTCAATGTTACTTAAAAAAAAAAAAAAGCCAGGGCAGGCTCTGCTCCAAGCAATAGAGGGCCAACACCTTTCTTGGGTTCTTTATATGTCCAGTGTACAACACACCCACAAAGAGATGACTTCATACCTGCGTGAAGCAAACGAGGAGTGAATTTATAAGACAATGTTGGAACTCTTTTGTGATTATTGAAACAACATTTGCTCTTTATAAGCAATCTTAAAACTATGGAAAAATAGGGAAGGGAAATAAAAATAACTCATAATCTCATTGCTCAGTGGTAAACCCTGTTTATATATTTCTTACCCAGGAGAAACTAAATGTAGCTTAGCTTCTCTTTCACAAAAAGATGTAAAGTAGAATTATTTTAATTGACTGCCAGCATACACTCACATTTGTCCTCTGCCTTTGAAGAGACTATATCACTTTGGCTTACAGCAGAATGACAATAGTGAGGTAAATTTAGTTATGTTTTGCATATATGGACACAAAGAACTGGACTAAACCTGCATGTCTCAAAATAAGAATGAATTAGGTCATCTAGTGTAGTGTCCATTTTGTATTACGTGTAATCAGCTGCTCATGTCTTTCATTCAACAGTTAGGCAGTTCATTAGAGCTTGAACATAAAGTATTAGTTAGTGAATAGCATTAGAAAAGGATGGAGGGCACAAAAGAATGAGGTTGACTACATTCTCATATCATACATAAAAACTAATTCAAAGTGGCTTTTGTGCCTAAATGTAAGATCTAAAACTACGAAACTCTTAGAAGAAAATATGGATATAAATTTTTATGACCTTGGATTAGCTAATGCTAAAAGCACAATTGACACACACATATGCACACACACACACACACACACACACACAAAGATAGATTTGACTCAATCAAAAACTTTTGTGTATAAAAGAACACCAACAAGAAAATGAAAACCTAAAGAGTGGGAGAATATCTGGAATGTCTAAAGAATGCTTAAAAGTCAATAATTAAAAAAACAAGTAACCCAATTAAAAGATGGACAAAGAATTTGCATAGACATTTCTTCAAAGACAGTATGTAAATGACCAGCAAACAAATACAATGATGTTCAACATCATTAGCTATTGGGAAAATGCAAATGAAAACTGCAGTGAGCTATCACCTTGGACACACTGGGATGGCTATGATTAAAAAGCAATGATTACTAGTAGGTATAGGTGTAGGTGTGGAGAAATTGAAACTGTCATAGGAATGCAAAATAGTGCAGCAACTTTGGAAAGTAGTCTGACAGTTTCTTAAAATGTTAATAGGGTTACCACATGACCTAGATATTCTACTCCTGGGTACAATGCAAGAGAAATCAGAAACTAGGTCCACACAAAAACTGGTATATTGAAACACAAATATTCATAGCAGCATCTTTCATAATAGGCAAAAAAAAGAAATGATCCAAATGTCCAACAGCCGAAGAATGAATAAATAACATGTATTATATACATACTATGGAATCCATTCAACCTTAATAAGGAAGGAAATTCTGACACAAATCACAACACGGATGAACCGTAAGGACATTATGCTAAGTGAAAGAAGCCAAACACATTTACATAAGTGTGTCATTTATAAAAATGACATTTGTCATTTTTATTACTGTCAAACTGAGGATCAACTTTAAAGTATTTCTTTTCTTTAAATGTAGACACCTGATTTGTGAGTTCAAACCAAGTAAATAGAATATACATTGTATTCACCAAATACAAGTGAATATGGTCACGTAAAACCTGAGAAATTTTAAAAGAGAAATATTTCCCAAAGCTTTTTATTTCCTTCACAAAACAATCCTGACTTTCATCAATTTTTCTGATATGAACTGTCTTTCCAAGAGACAGTTAACTAGGTTGAAGTGAGGGAAGAGGTAATACAAAGCTCAATGAACCTAAACTAATGACAAACTGACTCATTTGATAACTGAATTTGATGAGAGGTATAATTTCATCTTATTAACTATGAAGAAGAGTAGGATCATTTCCAGACTTAGTAGACAGCTCAAGTCTCAGAGAAAATATTTAAGCATTTTATCCTTTAACTAGGTGTCTTGTTTAAATTCTAAAAAAAAATCTACATGGTCACATTTGCTCCCTGGCATTAGGCACTACTGAGTTAGAAGGGAAAAATAAACAGATGAAGATAATTGTGCTTATTAAGCTTGGCTAGAATTACCACACCACATATATTAAACTCTGACACCTACTTAAAAATTTCTTAAGCAAATGAAGGGAGCAGGTGTCTCTATTTGAAGGGAAGTTACCTTCACCAGCTGCCTCTCTGCAAGTAGCTCAGAGAGAAATTTCCTTATCTTGGGGTTTGGACCTATGAGGGAAAAGCAGCAAATAGTAAAGGGAAAAATCAGAGAGTCATAGAACTTTCTAATTGGAAGAGGCCTGCAATCATTTATGTAATCTAGCCTTCTCATTTCATAAAAGTAAAAAAGACTAGAGTTTTTTTAAACAGCTTATCTAAGATGGTCATATCTCTAGTTAGTGAGAAAACTAAGATGGGAACCCTAGTCTTTTGATACCTTTTGAAACAGAGATTAAAAATAAAAGTTACTTTCTGTAGTATAAGTCAGACAAATCTATTGTACTCTTTCCATTGTCCTCTGGATAGATGAGCATAAAAATAAAAGTCTTCATTCAAAACACATAGAGGGGCAGTGGGGAGAAATGACCCAAGCCTTGTATGCCCATATGAATAATAAAACAATAAAAAAAAACACATGGAAACAGAACTGCAGGTAACTTGACACAACAAAAACAATTTCCTTTGTATAGGTTTCCTCGAAGACACTGATACCTAGCTAGTATGGAGGTTTCGTATTAAATATTCTAATATACTGGTTCATCTTGATAGTCTTGTGATGTTTTATCATCTGCCATCTATGACATAAAATAAAACTTTTCCTTGAAAGGACTTATTCTCAATCCTGAGAACATAAAGTGGCAATGTGCTCTTTTTGTTAAGAAAGAGCCCATTGTTTACTTTTACTTTGCAACAACATAGTTTTTAAATTGTTGGGCTGGTGGAGTGGCTCAAGTGATAGAGAATCTGCCTAGCAAGCATGAAGCCCTGAGTTCAAACCCCAGTACCGCCAAAATTTTAAAACTAAAAATAAATTGTTAAGTAAACATTGAAATAAAGTATCATTAGTTGCAGATTCTGACTTTTCTGGCTACTTCACAAAAAAGAAATATCCAGAGACATGTAATATCTTAGTAGTACACAGCAAGCAGGTAGTGAAACTACCCTATCTTGAGAACAAACACTTTTAAATTATAATTATACAAGTCAAGTTTAACAATCCCACACTCTCTACCAACCTGACACACACACACACACACACACACACACACACACACACAAATAAAACAAATAAACAAAAAACCCCCCGCAGCAAACAGGAATATAGAATGACATAGTTACCTGGAGGTGCTGAATTTTGCTGTGGCTAATGTAGAGTTTCTTGGTGGTGGAAGGAATACCTGATGGCACCTCTGTTAGTCTGTAGCATTGCACAGACTGAACAGAATCACAGCTACATCTTCTAGCACAGTTAGGACTGAAGCCATGGCTAAGAGAGAGCAAAACAAGGAAAGCATAAAGCAGATGCATCTTCCAAAACACTAATTCTCAGGTAGCAGGCAAGTGCTTAGGTGATGTCTCACTCTTTATACCATGAAATCTGATAATAGAATCTTATGAATGTGTACTCTGTCAATGTAAGAAGACAGGAAAGAAAAAATTCTCAATTTGTCTGGGTTAAAATGTTAGCAACCATTACAAAGAAGAAAGGGCTTAAACATTGATAAGCTGCCTTAATATTTGTAGGTGAGCAAAACCCAATGTTATTTATGACTTGGAAGGCTAATCTGCAAACACCTCTATTATCTGTAGTTTCCTTGTTTTGTTAAATGTGACACTAGGGAATTAGTGGGAAAAGACAAAGAGCTGTTTTATAGTGGGCCATAAAACCTTTGAATTTTCTGTGACCCTATATTAAAACCATTTTTGGAGGACTGAAACTGGCAGGTGTTTTCTTCTCACATTAACTAGTAAGGGAAAATAGGCAGGTTTTCAATTTGTTATTATTGTTTCAGTAACATTTTATGGCTACATGAAACAATGGGATACAATGGAGAGATGTTTAGCGCCACAGATAAGGTGTTTCATTCCTCTGCCACTTGATCCACCCAAATATCATGTTTTGGAAAATATCTTATCCACTCAAAAATGTTGATTCCATTAAGAACGAAACATCAATATGGATCTATTATCTTTATCTATGTGTAATGGTATGGGCCTCTAGTTTCTTCAGAGAAATTTGTCCAGTGTTCTCCAAGTGTAGAAGGAAAGAGGTCCAGAGCCTTCTTTGTTATGTGGCAAAAGATTATACAGAAAACCCCACAAGTGGAAGAACTAAATGCCCTCTTGCTGCTGAGCCTAAGCAGATTGCTCCAAAGCAATCCCTTTACATGGAAAAGCTCCTCTAATCCCCTCTTCACCCTTACTGCTCTTTGCAACAGTGGTCATTTGAAGCCCATTTCTTTGGTCTAATAATCAATCATTTTATTTCCAGAGTAAGGGTTCCTATGTGCTTTTCCCAAAACAACTTTCGACTCCTCTTTTCTGATGGTTTTGCCTCTGTTTTTTCTTTAACTATCAGAGACAAAAAAATGATAAATTTCTTTCCTGCCAATGTTCTGCCCTTTCAACAAACTTTATTTATTGTTTTTGCCTAGAAATAGAATTATTTCTTAATTTTAAGAACTTTCAAATATCAGAGTAATGCTCAATAAAAGACTATTTGGGAAAAACACCAAGGAGGAAAAAAATCACCGTTAGTCTTATTCCAAAGTCAAACATTACATTTCTAGTTTCTTTTCTGTGCCCAAGCATAGAAAAAAAAAAGGACAGAAATACTCATTGAACACTTTTTTGTGTTTCTAAAAAGGTAAATTTATATTGTTACTTGAACAATACCTGTAAAATCCTATCCTCTCCTCTGCCATCAATGACAGCAATTTTTGGTTATACAACATATCAGTAATTTCCATTTTCTGTCATTTGTGGGTGGCAAGGGGATTCCCTTTTCTTTGAGCCTTGAGATTACAATGCATTCTATTTTTTCTTCTCTGTAGTTCTGTATTATTACCTCAATTTTGGTATTATTTGTTATATTTTACTGTGAGTAGATTTATTTATCAAGTTGTAAACATACTCATATATAATTATGTTCTGCCCTTCTCACTAATATTTTCTCTATTATTTCATAGTTTCCATAAACTTAAGTGTCAAAACAATTCTCCATCAAGAGTTATGATCTATAGGTTAACTACTTTCTAACTTGTATTTTTTAGGTTGTTTTTCAATTTTACCATTGTAGGTGTTAATAACTTTGATCTCAAAAAAGTTTAAGAGTGTTTTGAAATATAAAACATTATTCTGAGTGAGGTTAGCCTGGCCCAAAAGACCAAAAATCATATGTTCTTTCTCAAATGCGGACATTAGATCAAGGGCAAACACAACAAAGGGATTGGACTTTGATCACATGATAAAGCAAGAGCATACAAGAAAGGTATGAGGATAGGTAAGACACCTAAAAAACTAGATAGCATTTGTTGCCCTCAATGCAGAGAAACTAATGCAGATACCTTAAAGCAACTGAGGCCAATAGGAGAAGGGGACCAGGAACTAGAGAAAAGGTTAGTTCAAGAAGAATTAATTTAGAAGGTAACACACATGTACAGGAAAGCAATGCGAGTCAACTCCCTAGATAGCTATCCTTATCTCAACTAGCAAAAACCCTTGTTCCTTCCTATTATTGCTTATACTCTATCTTCAATAAAACCAGAGATAAGGGCAAAGTAGTTTTTGCCTGCTTCTACCTTACTTCTGACTTTTGGAATTTTCACAGGACCATAGGTGTAAAGTTTTGGTTTCTAGCTCTTATGGTCCATAAAATTAAGTACAAGGCATGCATTTCTTTTCTGCACAAGATTTAGTAACACCTTATCTGATTATTTTTACTGGACTTCTTTGGATGTGGTGAAGTAAAGGAATATGGTGTCTTTCTCAAAAATGAAAAAATCAGTGACTTACCCAGCAATTGTTAAAAATAGGGCCCAGACATAAAGGAAATGCAAATCAAAACCACACTAAGATTCTACCTCACTCCTGTTAGAATTGCTACATCAAGAACACCAAGAACAACAAATGTTGGAGAGGATGCAGTGAGGGGAAGGAACCCTCACATACTGCTGGTGGGAATGTAAGCTAGTACAACCACTATGGAAAACAATATGGAGGCTTCTTTAAAAATGAAACAGATCTGCCATATGATCCAGCAATACCATTCCTACGGATATACCTGAAGGCATGTGACTAAGGTCATTACAAAGGCACCTGCACACCCATTTTTACTGCAGCACTATTCACAATAGCCAAGCTATGAAAACAGCCTAGATGCCCCATTACTGATGAATGAATGAAGAAAATGTGGTATTTATGCACAATGGAATTTTATTCAGCCACAAAGAAGAATGAAATTTGTCATCTGCAGGAAAATGGATGGAACTGGAGAACATCATCTTAAGTGAAGTTAGCCAGGCTCAGAAGGCCAAAAATCTCATGTTGTCCTTCATATGTGGATTATAGACTTAAAACAAATGCAGAAATATTACTGGACATGGGTCACACACTAAGGGGAGCCTGCGCACGAGAAAGATAGAGAAAGGGAAGGAAACCAAAAACCTGAATGTGGTTGATGTGCTCACTGTATAGGAATGAATAAAGTAATATTAAACTGGCAGAGGCCACTATGGGAAGGGGACTATGAAGCAGTGAAGAAGTCTGGTAGAGATGAACCAACTGGGGTTGTAATACACATACACATGGAAACAACATAAGGAAACTCCCTGTATAGCTATCTTCATCTCAAACTAATAAAAACACTATTTTTTTTTTTAAACTCACATGTTTTTTCAACAAAATTGGAGAACAAGAGGCGGAAGAGATTTTGCCCAGAGGGTGGGGGGTGGGGGTGGATGGTCACCAAAACAATGTATATACATGCAAGTAAAAAAATAGGGCCCAGAAGGCTGGCTCACACCTGTAATCCTACCTACTCTGGAAGCATGATCATGAGGATGGCCATTTGAGACCAGCCTGTGTTCACAAGACCCTATCTTGAAAATATCCAACACAAAAAAAAGGACTAACAGAGTGCCTCAGGAGGTAAGGCATCTACCTAGGAAGCATGAAGTCCTAGTTCAAACCCAGTACTGCCAAAATAATAACAATAATAATAGTAGTAGTAGTAGTAATAATAATAATAATAATAATGCCCAGAATCTAGGTTTAGGTTTTCAACACAAGAAAGATAGCAACTTCAAGGAATGTGCTTTGAATTTGGATTAGATAAAGTTCTTGGATCAGGTTCTCAAATCAGGCTTTTCCCTCCCTGACTTGCTTTCTTTATCTTTATTCTCTCTTTCTCCTTATAAACACCTCTTTTTTTTTTGAGTGGGACTGGGCTTGAGTTCAGGGATTTTTGCTTGCAAAGCAGGCACTCTTCCACTTTTGAGCCACACCTCCAGTCTATTTTGTTCTGGTTATTTTAGGGATGGGGGCTCATGAACTGTTTCCCTGGGCTGGCCTCAAACCTCAGTCCTCCTGATCTCAGCCTACCAAGTAGCTAGGATTACAGGTATGAGCCATTAACATCCAGCTAAGCATTTTTGATTGTCCTAAAAATGTGGAAGAAAGGGAAAGTGTTACTGGTCTCTAGTGATTAATGGCCAGGAATGTTGCTAAACACCCTAAAATGAACAGGATAGGAACCATAACAAAGAATTGTTGCAGTCAATTGTTAAGAAACTCTGCAATGAGCCAGGTATTGGTGGCTCACACATGTAATCCTATCTACCTGGGAGGCTGAGATCAGGAGCATTGTGGTTCAAGGCATGCCCAGGCAGATAGTTCAAAAGACCACATCTCCAAAATAACTAGAGCAAAATAGACAGGAGGTGTGGCTCAAATGGTAGAGTACTTGATTTGCAAGCACAAAACCCTGAGTTCAAACCCCAGTTCCACAAAAAAAAAAAAAAAAAAAGAAATCCTGCATTAAATACAAGTTGTATACTTCTATGAAACTAGTATTGACCTTCCTTGATTTATTAAAAGCAAAGGGCAAGGAATAATTGGGCTAAACCCTGAAGTTACCTAATATCTTAATGTAGTATTTGAGGAACCATTACCATGGAAGGCATATTATACCAGGCTGAAGAAATCTGTAGAAATCTATTTTTAAGTATTGCTCTTACAATAAAAGGAGGATTTAACTTTGCTTAGAGCATGCTGATGAGTTTTTGTTAGTTTCATAGGATGTTAACATACGAAGGAGCCTTACAGATAATTTAGTCAACACCCCTTTTCCCACTGTCCACCGCAAACTAAATTCCAGAAAGGAAATGGACTAATCCAAACTGTTCCTGACCTGGATCTAGAAGCACCAGCTCATGATTCCAAGTATAAAATTGGTCAGCGAAGAAGACTTTTCAAACATGAAATCCTCTTTCTCTCAGATAAAATAAAAATAAAAATAAAATTATGTA